TACTACAAATTTTTAGAGATCACTATTAGTGAAGCTAGATGCCTGGAGCTGCACATGGAAATTGACTGGATACCCATTGCCCACTCCAAACCAACTGGTGGGAACATTGTTCAGTATTTATTGCCAGGAGGGATTCCTAAAAGCCCAGGCCTTTATGCCATTGGCTATGAAGAATGTATTGAGAGGCCCCTTTCACCCCACATGGAGCGACGCTCCCTGGACCCTGGAAAAGAGGGCCGGGTTGACCTGGAAACCCTTTCAGCCCAAGCCTCATTACAGGTGGAAATAGAACCTACCCGAATTATCTATTGCTACCTCGGAATTGCTGAGGTTAGGACTCTGCAGCAGTGCTTATTTTTACATTTCCAAGCAAATACCAAAACCTTCAGCAAAGATTGGGTTGGTATTAATGGGTTTTTGTCTCAGAACTGTATTGTGGATCCTGGAGTTTCCCCTAAATCCATCTATATCAAATTTGTAGAAGTAGAGAGAGATTTTCTTTCCGCTGGCTCTTTAGTTGAGTGCCTGGAAAAAGCCATTGGATATCCTTTAAAATTTAACAACTGAATATCATCCTTCATAAGGATGTGGGTTCAGACCTCCCTCTTCTCTGTTCACTTCCTGTTACCTAGACCTACCCTCATCCAGATGCTGCCATCACACTGTTCATGGGAACTCTTTCCACAATTGGGTCAGTACAGCCTCCACAGAATCATAGTAAACTGGGCAGAAAAAACAAGAACTCACCTGAAAATGCTCATTTTGAGCAAACAAGCTATCTAGTGGACTTGAATGGTGGGTTAGTTGTTTCTTTTTCTAAATACAGGAAACAATTTTTAAATGGATTTTAGAGCCCTAATATGAACAAATGTAGGTACATTCCATATTGGACAAAACTTATACTTTTGAGTTTCATATGAAATTGAAAAATTGTATTTTTTTCACTATGTTCCATTTTTACACATCTCTATGTCTCTATATAAGTATTATTTACAACCCTGAATAAATAAGCAATAGATAATGGCAAGTTAAAACTTGAGTCACAGTAAATAAGACTTTTTCAATATCACCTTTAGCTACTATTGTATATAATTTAGAGTTTCATTTTTTTCACCAGCCAAGTGTTTTGCTATTTCCAATCAGTGTTGCCTGCAAAGACCTTTGTTTCTGTGATGTACCCACTTTATGGTTGTGTTGCCATTTAAAGTTTTTTTAAGAAAAAGTATTAAAAGTAATACCTGCCTCTTGGCGTACTAGTTGAGCTTTTTATAGTAGAGTGTGGCCACTGTGGCAATAGGGACTGTGCTGTGGCTTTACTGCTCAGAATAAACACAACAAACAAAAAAGGATCACTCTACTCACTATACCCCATTGACCAGTGTCATTATTTCTTGCCAGAGTGTCAGAGGTCATTGGACATTTGTATTCCTTTTTGAAAAAAAAGTAGGGTATTCCTTCTGATCCTAGGAACATAAATTTGTAAAATAATTTTATTCCTCATCTTTTGTAGTTAGTGATCTGGGGCACGTTTCTCAAGGGGAACAAGTGGAAACTTGATGTCATCTTGCTGTCTCTAAAAACAGGAAGTAAGGATCCAATAGAAACACCCTACTCCCCCTTCCCCCACAAAAAAAAAACTTTAAAAAAGTGACCCATAGGAGAGGAAATTGGAAGATATGAGTACCTAAGGAAGGTACTTATGTTTAGATCTTTTAGAGGTTTCTAGCGGGTCAGCCACCACTCTACTTGGAGGTTAGTGGGCTAAGAATAGCTCACTAATGCAGCAGTTAAGAAATAATCACTTGGTCTCATGGCAGTAACTTTTTAGATTAGTTATTTATCTTTAATGATTCCCCAATATCTCTCAGACACTTTGCTTTAAATGTGCTGCACATTCAGGTAAGAATGGTAATTCTCCCTGTTTGGCTATACTATTGAAGATAAAGTTGCATGTTGTTAAAATGTTCTTTTCCTGAAAACTGACCTCAAATCAGGGAAAATCACTGATTCTGATACCTCTTGGCTGCTTGATGTTTATTTTCTAATGACTAGAGAGCTTATTATAATGGGATGGCTTTGATTTATGTTACTTGAATCTGGGCTTATGGAGCTGGCTTTTTATCTGATGTAAGCTGCTAAAAATAGGTGCTGGTTCTGGGAAAATATAAATGTCCTGAGAATGTGCAAGTGTAGCACCTGTTCTCCCTGGGCATAGTTTTGCTCTTTGAATTATGGTCCTGAAGGCTGAGATGCAGTGACCATCTTGTAGCAATAATCTCACAGTACATAGTGCTCGGTACTGTAGGAAGAATCATTAATTACTAAGAGTACTATGTCCTCCCACAAATTTTGACACTGACTAATCCCAGCAATACAATTTTACCCTCCATCCCTCTTCCCATTGGTGCTAGTTAGATAGTTTGGGTGGAACATTTTGGGAACACTTAGTAAGGATGTTCTAGACCTACCTAATGAACATTGCTGAGATTGGGGCACTGTGACCAACCAACATGGAGAAGATGATAAACATGAGATCCAGTGTGTTTTCACCGTTTGGCTTGAAATGACTTGGAGTGGGGCAAGAGGATAATGATGGTTTGCCAAGAGAGTAGCTTACTGATATGGAGTACCATCTCTGACCAGAGCAGTCTAAAAAAGAAGACAGGTTGTCAGATAACTATGAGCATTGCTAAAAACAAGAAACACTATTTCTTGAGGCCTTAAATAAGCCTTGTAATTGATTCAAGGGAGACAGACTATATTCCAAGATGAAGTGCAATTGGCTGAAACCTGTCAGCTATGGACTTAGTGCTCACACATGTTTATGTAAGCAGTTCCCAGGTCATGAGAAGATAGTGTATGCTAAAATTCTCATTTTACATCAGGGCAGAGATCAGTGTCAACCCTAAAATGCATCTTGGCAAAAGTTTTGGAGAGGAATGGGGCTGTTCTGCTCACTTCTAGTATTTGACTCCCTTGGGGCCAGAAGAAAGAAGTGGTTGGAACAGGAGACACAAAACTTCTTTTGGGTAAAAGTCCTGAAGAGACTGCACCTATGTCACATGGAGGCATTTGCTGTCTGCAGATCACTAGCTGCAGTTTTCCTTCCCATATGGCAAGTTTTTTGTGATCTGAGTCCTAAAAGAAAAGTTAGCTACAGGGGAGTGAATACTGAGGCTGTACCTTATGTAGTACTTTATATGGGTGAGCACACCTGTGTGATTAGATGCTTCAACATCCCTGGGTTACCAGCAAGACTGTTTCTGTTCTTGGAAGGAATTACTTATACAAGGTGACTTAACCCTGGTCTGGAAACACAGGAGGGGTGTTTTATAAGAGGTGCTTTGCAATGTAGGCTAAAGTTGAGAAAAATGTGGTATAATAGGAAAGCTCTACCCTACCCCAAATCTTTTTGACAATCTCAAGTTGTAGGTCCCTGCATCAGGATGTGAGGCTGAGGAACATCTGTTCCTGTTGCCTTTGCAGCTGATGGGCTGTCAAATGTTAAAATTCCAGGAATGGCATGAGCAGTCTAGTGTTTGCATAGGTATTTCTCAGAGCCAGTACATGATCGGTATTTGAGGAGGAGCCAGGCAGCTCCTCCTGGAAGAAGCAACCAAGAGGGCAGGGCACTGTGTAGAAAAAGATCTTGAGTGACAGGGGCACAAGGGCCATACTCTGTTAAAACAACTGTGTGGAGTACACCCAATCTAAAAGGCCTAGCTGCTTTTTAGTCCCAGGTGGTTCTGCACCTCCTTTCCCCAGAACTGATTATGCTTTTTGCCCTCAAAGACTTGCTGAGTAGCTAAGCTCTACCCTGAGGTTTGAAGCTCCGCTCCACACTCCTCCCACGCCCCCACACGCCTCGCGGCTGATGAGCAGAGAAGCAAGAACAGGTGCGCGCCCTTCTGAGAGGGAGCTGCGGCCGGCAGGGGGCGCTGAGGTACTGCTTGACTACGTGGCGGCGGCGGAGGGAGGAGGCGGTTAAATTAAATTCACTGCGAACAAGATCTAGTCCTGGGAATTAAAGGATCAGAGCGGGCGTAAGCTGTTCACTGCGGTGATGGGAGGCAACGAAGATGTGGGGGATAAAGAAGAAAGGGAAAATTTTGCCCTACCCACCTTGCCGCAGCTGTCCTCCTTTCCTCAGTCAGCATAAGGCGTATAAGCGGTTTACTTCATCACCGAGGAGCTGGGAACGGGACTAGTTGCCTCGGTTCCTGCTCGGCTCCTGGGGCCACCTTGCACCAGTAGTCCCTGTTCAGAATATGAGGCAAAAGTCCGGGCTGATCTTAGGTCTGAGTTTTAGGGGGTCTGAGAACTCGCGGAGAGTCCCTCTCTTCCCAGGGAAAGGCGGTCCGCGCGTCGCATCGCAGTCCTGCCATGGCAGCCCGCAGGGTGCCTGGAAGCGGGGAGGTGGTCATGGCGGGTGTGGCTGTACCCCTTCCTGCCCGCTCCGGGGGCCGCGCCCGCCTCTGGCTACTATTCCAACAGCACAATGGGGCGGGCGTCCTGGTCCCTTCCTGCCGCTGCGCTGCCTATAGGGGAAACGCGTCTCCCGCTTCCTTCTTCAGGAAGGCTGCCTTGGTTAGGCTGAGGATGCAGTACCCTCAAGCTTGTAAGAGGTTGTTGGGGCCGGAGCTCCAGGCCTTTACCTGGAGTGTCAGATGTGAGGGTGCGATCCTGGATTTCAGATAGTTCCCAAACTCCCAACTACCCCACCCTGGTGGAGGGGGAGTATATGACACACTGGTTACTTTTTGCTCCCTGTGGGGTATCACGACTTATCTGACTCCAGCCTGAAGTCTGACCTGATAGAGGCCGCCGAATTCGCAGTCCAAGCGCTAGGAGTGCGCACCGCCCCCTCCCACCCCCACCCCGTGTCACCAGCCCGCCCCGCCCGGGAGGACGGCGACCTCTCCACTCGCTCCAATGCCCCGCCCCCTGTCGCCGTCGGTCCCCACCCCACCACCGGCATTTATTCGCAGACTTGGAGCTGCCCTTTTCAGTGGCCTGGCTCTTGAGCACGTTCTGGCTGTCTCTTAGCCTTGGCACCTGTTGGAGAGTGTGTCCCAGAACTGTCGTCTCTGATTGTGTCTTGGTCAGGGAGGGCCATGATTTCCCTGCCTGGTGCCCCTGCGACCAACTTGCTGTTTTTGTTCCTGGGAATGAGTACTCTTGGTGAGTCAAACCTGGGACCAGGAGGGACTAGGGATTTGGGATGGGGAAGATCCGACCTTGAGGGAGGACTTTGTCTACTGAAGAGTGAGTTGGTTGGGACTCCTGCTTGAGACCCTTGTCCTTCCCCACCACCCCCATCATCCTCCACCCCAGGGCATCACTGACTGCTGCCGATTTCTCTCCCTTCTAAGGCAACAGCTCCCAGTTTGGGGGTGGGTGGGGGCGGGGATAGGGATAAGGATATCTCCAGCAAGACCTCAATACCTCTGGGATGAGTTATCTGAACCATTCCCCTCTCCATCCCCACTCAACAGAGCTGGATGAGTTCAGGCTCTAGATGAGACTCTGACTAAAGAGCTTAAGGACTTAGCTCTAGTCCCTCTTCGCCCCCCACCCCACACTCAAACTGATGTGAAAGATCCCTGGGGGAATGCCCTGATCTCCAAGCTTCACATACTTACTTCATGTCTATTCCCCAGGCCAAATTCTCCCTTTGCCTTCCTCCTGTTTCCTGCCCTGGAAATCAAGGGAGGTGCCCCAGAAGCATGACCGTGAGGTCATTTGGACACAGGAAATGGGGGAAGGGTTCAAAAGCCGAAAGGAGAATTGTCACACAACATACCCCTAGGTCCACCACCCTGTATCTTTTCCCAGACCCAAAAGGAACAAGGGAAACAAGAGAGGGAGACAGAGAGATTGGGAACCACTTGGAGCAAATGTTTTAGTAGTGTTGAAAGCCTGAGACTACATATGGGGAGAAAAGGATCCAGTGTAAGTAAGCTGGTTCACTTGCTGCTTCTCAGGCTTTTTTGGTTTTTTTTTTTTTTTAAATAGCCGTTTTCAAGGGTCCCTATCTGGGTTTGAAGACATCAGCTCCAACTCATTTCTCAGGTTGGAGGATGCTGGGGCAAGTAAGACCTGCCTGGAGGGATGGAGAATGAAATTGAAATTCACTCTCCATTATTAATGGGAACTTCCCTAGCTTCTGCCCTTTGCCTGATGTGTGCCAATGGTGTTGGGGCATGAAGTACAAAGGCCTCCAGACAAATGGGTCTCATGAGCAGTCCTCCAGCCACACCAAAGCCTGCACAGCCTTCTGCCCTTCTAGACTGGGTGGGCCTGATCTCACCTTCTCAGCTCTGCTTTTGCATGTTCAACCTTCAACTTCCCTAATCTCCCTGCTGGGGGAGTTTCCAAAGCATCCTGGGCATCATCTGCAGGTCACCTGCAACCCCCCTTTTTTTTTTAAATTGCAGCTCTGAGCCTCAGTAACGAACTGAACTCCCAACAGAAGCCCTGATTCAAAGTTCCTGCAGTGTCATGGGGGTTGCCCAGCTCCTGCCAGTCTCTCCTGGGTTAAAATGGGCTGAGTTCGCGGCAGACACCCGGCGACAAGGCCCTTCTGCTCCGCGGGCTCCTCCGCGACTCAGCGCTGCTGCCCCCGGGGCGTGAGAAGTCCGCGGGGGGAGTTTCTCAGAGAAAGAGGGAGACTAAAAATAGTAGCCCTGGGGAGCGGGCCCATTTCGCTGTACTCTCAGAGCAGAGCAGGCCAGAATGGTCCCTTTCTTGGGCTGCTCCAGTGTCACCCGGACGCAACAATCTCTCCCATTTCTCTTCCAATGGCAAAAGGGCCAACCACTTGGGGAACGTCAGCTCCAACTGACACCCAGGACAGGGTAGAGAGACTTCAGGCCCTCTTCTGCTTCTGGTTTCTGACTGAGGGTATAGGACAGGCAGCATTTGCTTGACCCCAATGTGTCTATTAAATTATTATGTATTTTAACACACACACACACACACACACACACACACACCTTCTGCAAAATGCAGTTATAAATGAAGGACCCCGAAGAGGCCGCTAGGGCCCACAGCCATGGAAGTTCACTTCCTTCCAGGGACCTACGCAGTTTCCTGGCAAGAATAGTTACTGGCCGCTGGGCATGTGCTTCAGACAGGCCTTGGGAGAGTCGCCACCGCCCCCAAGGCTCCAGGTGTGCTTGTCCTCTCAAATGTCCAGTGGATCAGGTCCCCAGGGGTCGTGGACCTCCTTGAGTTGTTGTTCGCACTATGGAACCTCCGGTCTAGCGGCCGCCCCCTTCATTGTCTTCTGCCTTATCTCAGGGCACAAGTTTCCTGCCCAGCCCTTAGGGACCCGCCAGGAAATCGAAAGGGGGCTGGTGCAGAGGACAAGGAATAGATAGGGGTTCCGTAAAGACGCGCAGCCGGGAGGCGGTGGGGGTGGCACATCCTGGCCAGACCCCGCATCATGCGTCTTAAAGGCCTTTAGCCGAACTCCACTAGGGCTGAGAGCTGAGCGGGTCAGGGGCCTCCACCCGCGCGTGGCATCTCATATTCCTGATCTTCACTGTAGCCGAGGAAGACAAGGGACCAGGACTAGGACTGCCAGTGTCCTAGCCCAAAGTTATTTCCCAAAGAGTTGGCACGCCTTTATCTCTCCAAAGGACAAAAAATGAGTGTTCCTGTATGCCGTTGTGCAAGCGATAGCCCCTAACTGAAACCAACACCCAGGCCATCTCCTGGACGCTGGACGCACTCAGGGAAAGCTTTGTAATTGTCAGAGGACTGTAGTTACCCCGGATTGTAATTTCCTGCAACCCAATAGAACCCGCTCAGATCGCCCAGACCCTAAAAGGGCTTTCTGGTTCTCAGTCCTGCTCTTTCGTGGGGAAGCCGTCCCACTGGGACTGAGAGAACCAGAAAGCACCGCGGTTACTGGGCCCGGTGTGGGCACTGGGTGCCTCAGATCTCTCCAGCTACCAGAGGTTCAGGAGCCGCAGGGTTAATGGATAACTGAGCAGCTTCACAACTGCTTATGCCCATTGGGTTGAAAACTCCCAGATCTAGGAGGCCTGGTGGCTCTCCCTTGTCTCTAGCCCAAGGAGATTAGGCGAGCAACGTGGGGTGTAGATCAAAAGTGGTAGGTCTGCCCTTCGTTCTGCTATCTTCCTCTCCTCAATGGAAGTCTTCCGCCCTTTTTCTTGGTCCTCAAAATAAACACGTATTGGATTTGAACAAAGAAGTAGAAATGTGTCTCTGCTCCCCCCCATACCCCCGATCTGTGGGGTAGGGAAACAGGACACTACAGCACTTCTCGAGGTCTCCAGTGGCGGCACCTGGCGCACGGGGCAGGGGGGGGGGTGCGGGGGCGGTTCTTCGGGTTAGCGCTACCTTCTCCTTGGGCAGCGTCGATCAGGGTCAGTGGGCTGAGCAGAGAGCCAGCCTTGGTGCTCACGCCTCCCGCTCTGTCTCTAGCGTTCCTCTCCAGGGCCCAGCTGCAGCTGCACGTGCCCGCCGGCCTCACCAAGCTGGAGGCGGTAGAGGGAGCAGAAGTGGTGCTCCCGGCCTGGTACACCATGCCAGGGGAGGTTCCTTCTGCCCAGCCATGGGAGGTGCCCATCGTGTTGTGGTTCTTGGAACAAGAAGGCAAGGATCTAAAACAGGTAAGGGGGAGCTTCCCAGGGACTGGTAACCAGCTGGGGAGACGGGAAAAGCTGCGGAGGGTGGGAGGGGTGGCCAGAGAGTGGGGTCTGGAGAGTTTCAGGAGGACCAAGTGTCCTCACAGTGTCAGTGTGTGTTCTCATCTTGAAGACTTCTCTTTCCCCCAGTTTTCTTTAAAAATCCAGCACTCAAAACATGGTAAAAAACAAAGACATTTACTTTACTATGGTGGACATGGGGCTGGAGGTTGAGGAAATGGGAAGGTGTAACACAGAACTTTTAAAAGTTAAGTGTGTTTTGTGTGGACTTTCTCTATGCTTTGACTACTGTCAAGTACAGGTCACTTCTCTTCCTGAATGTATCTGTCTCCTTGCACCTTTACTCCTGGAGAGGCAGAAGGCCTGTTCCATGGCCTCCTGCCTCTCCTCCTTCCCTTCATGAGGCAAGATTTACACCCAGAGACTGATTACTCAGAAGGCAGTGGGACAGTTGTCAAAGCCCCTCACTTGGATGGACTCCTTCCAACTTCCTGGAAAACATGTTCAAGGGAGTGAACTTGAGACGTGTGGCTCAAATGGTAGAGCATTTGCCTAGCAAGCACAGGCCCAGAGTTCAAACCCCAGTGCCATAAAAACAAACACATAAACATATTTGTTCAATGGGGGTATTTGATCTTGGTTTTCTTTTTTTAACTTTTTTTCCTTAAACTTACCCTGTCTAATTGTATAAGTTTCAGGCATTACAAAGCCTGGTTTGCCTCTGCAATCTAAGTTTCTTTCACACATACTCCCTATCATATGATCGTTTCTGTCATTATGGCACCCTTGTAAGCACTCCACATAGGAACTGAAGTGAGTGCATAGAGGAAACCAGAACTTCTGTGAAGATGACGTGGTGCAGTGAGAGTGTGGCTGGGGAGCTGGGTGTGAACAGGAATTAGTTCAGGACAGAAGGGTGGGTGCAGATGAGAGGGACACATGAAGATAGTTTGGGGAGGGTGGGCTGTCTGAGCCTGTAGGCACACACAGGGCATCACAGAGTAACAAGTGTCCTATGCCCACTAGGTGTTGTCTTACATCAATGGAGCTTTGTCAAGTAAACCTGGAGTATCCCTGGTGTACTCCATGCCTTCCCGGAATGTGTCTCTGAGATTGCAGGGTCTACAGGAGAAAGACTCTGGCTCCTACCGCTGTTCCGTGAATGTACAAGACAGTCAAGGCACAGATAGGGGCCACAGCAGCAAAACTATCCAACTCAATGTGCTGGGTGAGTGAGAAGCTCATGCTTCTGGATCCCTCTGTATCCACACAGGGAGGTCAGGCAGGTTTCTCTCTCAAGTGATTGACTATAAGCCTTGGGGACCGGACAAGGAGTGACAGAGGGCATCTGGGGCAAGAGGGAAATCTGTGAGTCCTTAGGTGTGGGTTTTAACCTGTCTCCTGTTTCCCAGTTCCTCCAGCTCCTCCATCCTGCAGTCTCCGGGGTATACCCCATGTGGGGACCAATGTGACTCTGAGCTGCCAGTCCCCAAGGAGTAAACCTGCTGCGCAATACCAGTGGGAGCGGCTGTCCCCATCCTCCCAGGTTTTCTTTGCACCAGCTTTAGGTGAGGGAATTTCTGGAGATAACTGAGACTGTTGCTGGGGAAGGGGAAAGATGAGATATGTCACAGACAATGCTAGAAAGGACTGGGGAGGAGGATGTGGAGACAGGAGTGAGAAAGATGAATGAACTTTCAGGTGCAGACCCTGTGTTTGGTGTTTTCATGTGCTGTATAGTTTTACTAAAAGGCTGTACAGCTAGACTGGCTGCTTCAGGTTCCAGTTCTGTCACTTGCTAACTTTGTGACTGTGCTCCATTCTCTCATTTGTAAAATGGGATGTCACTAGCCCTGATGTACCAGCTATAAAAGATCTTTTAGGGACAACTGGGATATTGTAAATATGAGGTATTAGATAACTTTGAAGAATTACTATTAATTGCTGAGGTGTGGCAATAAGGGTATGATTATGTAGGAAAGTATCCTTATTTTTGGAGATGCATGCTGAAATATTACTTTAAAATGTTGACAGAGAGAGAGAGAGGAGGCGAGAAATGGACTGGCAAAATATTAACAACTGTCAATGTAGGTGTCAGGCATACAGATGTTCATTTTCTTAATTTTTCATTTGACCTTTTTTATTTGTTTGGTGCTGACGTCCAACACAATGCCTTGTGTATGGTATGCATGTGCTCTGCAACTGAGCTATACCCCCAGCCTCATTTTTATTTATAATTTGTTTATTTGTTTATTGGTAGTACTTGGATTTGAACTCAGGGCCTCACACTTGCTAGGCTCTACCACTTGAGCCACTCTACCAGCCTTCATTTGACCATTTTTATAATAAAAGTCTTCTCTCTCTCTTTCTGTATGTATCTCATAGGTTTGTTGTGAAATTTTAGCTAGTGAAGAACTTAGGGCCATATTTGGCTTAGAGTAAACAGCCAATAAGCACTACCTGTCAAAATGATTAGTCTGTATAATTCTTTCAACACCACCAGGGAAATCATATTACTCCATTTTACAGATGAAGAAATGAGGATCCAGGGATTTCAAATAACTTGCTTAAAGTCACTTGACCTATTCTGAATCCCAGGTTTTCTAGCTCCTAGCATTAAGTTCTTTCTCTTTCATTACACTACCTTTCAGAACTAAAGGGTTTTCTGTGCATCAGTTTGGTTCCTTTCAGATATCAGTTGGGGTCCTGAGAAATGGAATTAGAGGCAAGTATTGATCTTTCTGGTCTGCACCTGGGAGCAGGGCCCAGAAAACTGGCAGTCACATTTTCCCCCTCCATTAGAAAACAGATAAGCCATGACTCCCAGAGTCAAAGAGGAAGGGCAGGATTTTTTTTTTCTCATGTGGGAAGGAAGATCCCTGGACTGATGGCTAAATTGTGTCCACAGATGCCATCCATGGGTATTTAAGCCTCACCAATCTTTCCACTTCCATGTCTGGAGTCTATATCTGCAAGGCCCACAATATGGTGGGCAGTGCCCAGTGCAATGTGACCCTGGAAGTGAGCACAGGTCAGTGAGGGGTAAGTGTGGTTAAGAAGTGTGGTCAGTGTGTGTGTTTGAGGGGGTTGCAAGAGGGGGGGAAGCCTGTCTGTTGAAGACACTTACTGTAGCATGAAAGGGAGCTTGTCCTGGTCAAAGGTTTGTACAGATATTTGGCCAGTGACTGGCTACTTTCTGCTTGACAATGCCTCCTCCACCCCCATCTTTTTAACAGAAAAAAAGAGAATGTTATGGTAGCAGTGGGGATAGTGGAACTAGAAAGGTGTCCCCGTTAGGTGTCCCACTCTGACACAAAGGCTATTCCAGGGCCTGCAGCTGCAGTGGTTGCTGGAGCTGTTGTGGGCACTCTGGTTGGATTGGTGCTGCTAGCTGGGCTGGTCCTCTTGTACCAACGCCGGAGCAAGGCTCTAGAGGAGCTGGCCAATGACATCAAGTAAGTATCCCTAGTGTCTGCAGAGATGGGATGTCTCCTAACTCTTTTCACAGTCTGGGAATCTGTGGAGCTCCTATCTAATTGAAGGGTGGGTAGCAGCCAAAACCTCAAATTTCTATGGATGGGTTATAAGGGAGAGAGAGAGGAGGGTTGAAGTGTGCATGTGTGGAGGGAGAGTAAGGCAAAACATGTAGAAATGCTTGTGTTTTTTCTCTTCTGCCTCTGATCTCTTATTACTTCTTTGATGACCAGGGAGGATGCAGCTGCTCCCCGGAACCTGACTTGGCCCAAGGGCTCCGACACAATCTCCAAGAATGGGACTCTTTCCTCTGTCACCTCAGTAAGAGCCCTCCGCTCATCCCATGCTCCTTCCAGGCCTGGTGCATTGACCCCCACTCCCAGTGTCTCCAGCCAGGCCCTGTCCTCACCAAGACTGCTCAGGACAGATGGAACCCACCCTCAGCCAGTATCTCTCAGCCCTGGGAGGGTTTCTTCATCTGCCCTGAGTCGCATGGGTGCTTTACCCGTGATGGTGCCTGCCCAGAATCAGGCTGGGTCTCTTGTGTGATGGTCCAAGCAGTCATTGGCTAAACCGTTTGGTGTTTCTCCTTCCATAAGAGGCCTGAGTCTTGAGAGGGTAGCCATATTCCAGACCGCCAGTCTTCTGCCCATACATCTCCTTACTGTGGGAACACCAGGTCTCAGTAAGACCCAAATGTCCAGGAGGTGAAAGTAGAAAAAGAAGGGTATTTGGGATTGGCTCCCCTCACTTCTCCCTATGAAGCCAGCTGAATGCTGCTGAGACTGGCTACCCTCCAAGTGCCCTGGAGGAAACTGACAGTCAGCAAGCCCTTGGCCCCTGTGATCTGTACCCCACTCTTCCTTAATGCCATCCTTTATTGCCATTCCAGCTCCCTGTATTAATATCTCCTGTCCTGCTGACTTAGTTGGGTTTTGTTGGGACAGGGGATAGGGAAGATATTTTAAAAACTAACTTGAAATATGTGTTTTTGTTTTTACTTTGCAAATTTCAATAAAGACACATTTATTTGTATGGAATAAGAATCAAATTGCCTTTTCCAATTGGGAATTCCCAGAAGTTGAGCTTCAGGAGGATGGAAAGTAGATCTCACTCAGGTTCTGTACTCCAGAGGCTTCACACAGCCTCAGAACTTACTGGCTCAGCATAGCCCTTTTAAAGTCTTTAGAAGGATTGTTGTTTGTTTTTGTTGTTGGTTTACTTTGTTTATTTTTTGGTGGTAGTGGGGTTTGAACTCAGAGCCTCCTGCTTGCAAAGCAGGGGATCTACCACTTGAGTCACAGCCCTATCCCTAGAAAGGTCATTTGCCGTCATGTGGAAAGGGGAGGTGCTAAGACCCTGACACTGAGAACATCCTAACCCATTCTGAGCAGCAAGGGGTTTCTGCTGAAGCCTTGGTGCCCAGGCTTGGGTGTGCATGCACTCCACTGCTGCTTCTTCTCCAGAGCAGAGGAGAGGAACCTCACTTGTGCTCCCTTTCCTATGCCACTGAATCCTAAACAAACACACCATCTTTCTCATTGGGTAGCAATGCCTCCTACCCGCTCCAACCAGTTTACTGAGGGAGAACTGGGCATAGGATGTTTGAATACCACCTTTCCCACCAAATGTGGGGCTCTGGGTGTTAGTTTCTCTTCCATAAAATGGAGGGGCTCTGGGAGTGGGGAGGTGGGTGTAGTTTCCCTGGAGACTCCTACACCACCAGGAGGTGAAAACAGGGGTTTGGAAGAACAAGAATTTCTGTAGGGGTCACAGTGGGTCTGCTCCTGGGATGCATTCTCACTGCCTGAAGCCCAAAGTGAAGTCATTTGCCAGCTCTGGGATATCAGAATGCCTTCTCTTCCTCCAAAGACACTCTTTCCCAGTTCTGAGCCCTTGTTTTCAGTGTGCCTTCTCCAAACTCAGGGCTTTCCTCAGGGCCTAACAGCTGAGAAATTGGGGGAAAGAGGCAGGAAGAAGAAGCAGGGCTAGAGCGATTCCAGAATTGGGCCTGGAGGGAGGAGGAGCATTTCCTTTCTTAAAGGTGCTGGCCTCTCCCCTTGTTTGCTCAGAGATAGTCTCACTCTGGCCCAGCTTGAGGCTGCTGCCCTTTAGGCGCTCCCTTCCCTTTCTTAGCCCAGACACTGAGATACCCCAACAGACAGCAGGACTTGGACGGCAGGGTCGACTATGGCCTGGCTCCCGGTGGAGCCTTTCCTCTGGGGGGCCCTGCTGGGCTGTGTGTTCCTGAGTGGTGAGAACGGACCAGAGGGGACCACTGCAAGAGCTGGGGTTATGGGCCTGAATTCCCCGGTTTCTTGGGGCCTTGCTGGCCAGGCTGGGGCTGTCTCCAGCAGTAGGGACCAAGGAGGCAGCTTTGGAGGTCAGGGAGGCAGGTGCTTTGAAGGCTGGGAGGGTAGAGGAGGGGGGCATGCAAGAAGGCAGGTGAGCTGGGCCTCTCCTGGCACCTGTGGAGTTGGGCCTCTCCTACTACCGCTGAAGGACTATTGTTTTTCTTTTCCTGCCAGCACATCTTCAAACTTAGCCTAATCTCTGGCCCTTTTACCTACAAAAACCTGGCTGGGCTGAGGGCTCCTCCCTCCCCCTTTCCCTCTGTTCTGGAAACTTCAGATTTCTGTAAGAGAAAAAGGAATTGAATTGATGATAGGGGGATTGACCCCAGCCTCTAGAGTGGTTTGAATTGGACCCTCCAATTCAGTGGGATTGGGATCCCGCCTCCTTCCGCATCTTCAGCCCCAGGACTAGCTGTGGAGGTGATGGTTCCCACCAAGCCGCCTAGCACACCGGTGGGCAAGACTGCCGAGCTAAACTGCAGCTACAGCACATCAGTAGGAGACAACTTCGTCCTGGAGTGGAGCTTTGTGCAGCCTGGGAAGCCCATCTCTGCGTCTGATCCTGTGAGCTGAGTGCAACTACACCCAATGGAGCTGGCTCAGGACAGGGGACCTATCCAGGATGACTGACAGTGTGGGTACAGAAAGTGGGCACTTCCTAGATCTTCTCAGGTCTGCAGTCTGTGTGATGGTGTATCCTCCCTTCCTCTCCCATAGCTCCTATATCCAACTTCCTTATGTCACTGACCCTGAGATAATGCATTGATAGGGTATTATGTTTTACCTTCATGATTCAAGCTGCAGAATCTCAGCCTCCCTGCCTGGCAGCAAGGGTACTAATACCTGCTTCTGCGTGGAAGGACTGTGGAGTTGATGCCAAGCAGGAAAGGAGATGTATGTTTTCTCTTCTGCCTCTTCTCAGATCCTGTACTTCACCAATGGCCATCTGTATCCTGCTGGTTCAAAGGCAGATCAGGCCAGCCTGCTCCATCATCCCCCTACAGGAGGGGTGGCCACCCTGAAACTGACTGATGTTCGCCCTTCTGATACTGGAACCTACCTTTGCCACCAACCCCGCAAGATTTCTACATCAATGGGTTGGGATTAATCAACCTTACTGTGCTGGGTAAGGCAGGCTGGGGACCCACCAACCACCATGTACCCTAAAAGTGTGTACTAGCCTTGCCAGATCTTCCCATCTCGTGATTTGAAGCCCAAACACAACTGCATTGGGGATTTCAAGAAAAAAAAAATACCCAATAGTTCTAATCTAAATGATCATACTCTAACTCCACCCTCCACAGCACCTCCTCCCTTAGGGCCTCGTAATGAAGGATATGAGAGAGAAAGCCCTTTCCATATATGGGAATCTGAATTATGTCCCTACCAGCTCCATACCAAGAGAACCTCCTCTTGGTATCTCAGATTTGGATACTATCTCTCCCAACATCTGTAGCAGGGAAGAAGAGAGGCCATTTAAGGAATAAGGCCTTCTCTCATTGAACACCACTTTGTGTTTAGAGCCCATCTCACCTCAAATCAGAGCCTGCTCAGAGTGAGCAACCAGAAGAAACCATTAAAGAGGCAAGAAAGGTGTAGATGGGAAACAGAAGACCTGGGATGTGGCATATAACTACTGTATTCAAATATCTGAAAGGCTGTTGTATGGAGGAGGACTTAATTTCTCTCTGGGGGCCCAGTGGGCAGGAACTGGAACCAGTGAGTGGATATTACATTAACACAGATTTTGGCTCAGCATGAGGAAGATTATTCTAATCATCAGACTTTCCAATAATGAGAAATCACTTCCTGGGGATGCAGTGGTATGGAGAGAAGTGGACCACTATTTGGCAGGAATATTGAAGCAGGAAATATGGTATTTAATAGATTGCTGAGGTACTTCTGTGATTTTTGCAGTGCCCCCTAGTAACCCCATATGCAGTCAGAGTGGGACAACCTCTGTGGGAGACTCTGTCATACTGAGATGCAGCTCTTCTGAGGGAGCTCCCAAGCCAGTGTACCACTGGGTACACCTTGGATCTTCTCCTACACCTTCTCCTGGCAACCTGGCTCAAGGTAAGGCCCAGAGCATCAGGAAGAGGGAACTGGAGACTTGAGCAAATCTGGTCTTCAAACCCCATACACTCTCATTACCAGTTTATGACTAGGGACAAGAGACCAACCACTATACATTTTCCCCTACCTCTTCCTTGTATTGTTCCCTTTGTCTTTCTGCAGTCTGTGGATGGATTCTTGGGAGAATTTCTCAAGCTAAATGCCCTCATTGTATCCTGTTAGGGGATATTCTTAAGATTCCTACGTGCCTACTTTTTGGGTATTTCTTTTAGACATCTTAAGGATCATGAGTCACTTCCAAATGTCCTAGAGAGGAAATTAAGACAGAATAGAATGAACCAGTGTGAATCATTTGGCTAGTTTCTTTGAAGAAGCCATGTATCTAAGAGCCTTAGCTTCTTAACTTCCTCTTGCTGGTTCCAGTTGCCCCACGTCTCCCCATAACATCAGCGTCAATAAATCCCTTTATCAATGCAGGCCTTCTTCCCCAGATCTCTTTCTGATGTGCATTCTGCCTTCTAAAGCAATAGTAAGAGTTTAGAAAGGCACTTGGATCAGCCTAGTGCCACCACAGAGGAGCAGTTTTTACGAATCAAGATTTTTACCCCTAACCAGGAACCTGACCTCAGCTAGTAAGCACCTCACCCAATCTCATCATCTTCATCTCCCCTCCTGAAAAGGCAACTATGAGGGGTAGAAGAAGTACAGAAGTTGGGGTGGCTTTGGAATTCCTCTCTGGATCATCTCAAACAAGTTTCTTTTCCTGAGCCATTTCTCCATCAGTCAAATGAGGTTCGTCCCTCCCTGACAGGATTATTGTAAGGATGAAGTGAATTGTGCTTTCCTCATAGCAGGGGCTCACTGTGGGTTGAATGACGGGTAACACACTTCCCCTTTACTTTCTAGATGAGATATCTGGCCAGCTCATTCTCACCAATCTTTCCCTGACCCCCTCCGGCATCTACTGCTGTGTGGCCACCAACCAGATGGGCAGTGCATCCTGTGAACTGACCCTCTCTGTGACAGGTAGGGGAAGCTAGACAGAGACCAGGCTGGAAGACTTGGCTTGGGGAGGTTGCTCAAAGCTGTCTAAGCATGAGCCAAGGAAGTTCTGCAGCTCTGAGGGTCCTGTGTCTCCTTAGACTTTTCCGGAGGCTGAGTAGCTGGGACTCTGATTGGGGTGCTCCTGGGTGTGCTGTTGCTGTCAGTTGCTGCATTCTGCCTGATCAGGTTCCAGAAAGAGAGGAAGAAGGAGTCCAAGGAGACATATGGGGGTAGTGACCTTTGGTGACCAGGAGGGGTAAGGGGTGATACAGAGAGGGATGAAGGGGCTTGGGTTGCCTTCCTGACATGGTTAAAAATGTTTAGGAGATGTTGGGCACTGGTGGCTCGTGCCTGTAATCCTAGCTACTCAGAAGGCAGATCAGGAGGACTGAAGTTCAAAGCCAGCCTGGGCAAATAGTTCCTAAGGCCCTATCTTGAAAAAACCCATCACAAAGAAGGGCTGGGGGAGTTGCTCGAGGTGTAGGCCTTGAGTTCATCTCCCAGTACTACAAAAAAAAAAAAAAGTATTTAGGGGTAGGGAGTGCTGCTCAGCCCTGACATTTGGTGGTAGCAGGGCAGCAGTATGACCTGTACATTTGCATGTGTCAGCAGGGTGTACAGGGTGGAGGGGTTGACTCACAGGCTGGGATGGGGATGGCTCCGTTTGCAGGACTTCCCTGACCTTCCTCACATTTAAAAAAGATGTTCTTTTCTGTTTTTAAGACAGTTTCATACATATAATAACCACCTGGAAGTAGCAGTGGGAGGTTGATGCTAGGAGTTTCATTTGTCCTGATCACTCAGGTGAGTTATTTCTTCTGGGTTGGACAATCAGGAAAGGAGGCCAAAGCTGCCTCTGTCATCCACTTTAGCTGCAAGTCATAGGGTCCACAATAGGAATCACAGCAATATTTCTTAAAGTGTGGCGCTCACATTACAGAGATGGAAATTACCAAGAACTTGTTATACATTCGGATCCAGGCCCCTTTCTAACTCTCCTTATTTACTTATTTAATTAATTTTATTCATGTGTCGGGGGAAAAGGGGCCTGGAACCTTCATTTTAACTAAAGTTCCACAGATGGATGTTTCTTGTGTACTGTAAAATTTAAAAGTCCCTAGGTTAGAGGATGGCCAGTGGCTGAAGGATGCTTCTAGCCTCAATAAGAATTTGCTTGTATCCTTCAGGCAAGATGCTGTGTCTCCTAGGATTTCTAAGCAAGCTTCTGCGGAAGAGGGATTCTAGCAAAGACCTCCTGGAGAGGTCCCCATCTGCCAGCACGGTGACAACCCAGAAGTCCAAAGCCTGTATGGTTGTCTGATTTCTCCTGATCCCTGAAGGCAGTAGAGGTAGAGGAGAGTATCAGTAAAATCTTTGCATACCATATGGCCTCCCTTTTCTTTCTGCTGGTATGGTGAATTCCTCTAGGCTGTCCAAAACTATTACTAGTATGGGAAGGAGTGGGCTTGAGGTTTCAGAGATGATTCTGTAAGCAGGAAGTGTGTTTGGGTCAAAGGTGTAGGTTTCACCCTGGGTACTTTTCTACCTCACCCTCTGCTTTTTGGTTTGATCAAATGAGATTTATTCTAGCTCCAAAGAGGTAGAATAACCTCTACCTCTCCCCCTCCCCAGCCCCTCCCTTCTTCGGCACCCTCTGAACACTTTGACATTCCTCTTTATTGTTCACATTCCAACCCAGCACGGTCACATGCACACGCGGAGATTAAAAACCTTCCGGCCACAGCCCCAGGAGCCCGGCGGGGGTGGGGCCGGCAGGGACGGGGGCGGGGCCGCGAAAGACTCCTCCTACCGAGCCTCCAAGCTCGGTATTTGCTTAAACAGGAGAGTTGGAGAGGCTGCTCTTGGTGCGCGGGGGAGGAGGGAGGGGCAAAGGACAGGCAGGTGTGCGAGAGGGACTTCCCTTCTGATCATAACAAGGGGCATCCCACACCTTGAGAACCCTCGTCCCCTCTTTTCTAGCCCCAGATCTAAGATAGGCTGGGGCGGGAACGTCAGAGAGACGCAGTGCGCTCCCTTTCGCTGAGCACAGAACGAAAGGACGTGTTAGGTTTAAGAGTGAGTGTAGTTGGGCGACGCGTAGGGCACCCTCCGCAGTGCGCGCAGGGAAGCGCACGGAGGCAGCGGGGGCAGAGCTGCATGCTGGGCGTGGGGAGAGGTGGGCGAGAAGCGAAAGAAGGAAAATTTGGGAGCACGAGGTTTGGGGCTGGGGGCGGTGAGAAGGGGCAAATGTGGTGCCACGCTAGACTGGAGAGCTAACTAAAAGGGCACAGACTTGGCGACTCTGGGAGAGGGAGTCTCTGGGACGCTGGGGGCTCCTGAAGCTGGCAGGTTGGTGGAAGGAGGGAGTCACAAACACGGTAGGGAAGTCTCGTCACTGCGAAGGGGACGCGGCATCCATCTCTCCTCGGAAACTAAGGAGAGAGAAGGTCTGAGAACTTGATCTTTCTTGAGAACTTCCTCTTGCCCTCCTTTCCCCCTTTCTGAACCAGGATACCATGGCGGGGAGTGTGTCGTGTGTAGGGGGTCCTAGTCACCAAGGAACACCCCGCCCCCACCCCGAGTCAATGAACTGCAGTGAACCCCGCGGCAGTGCGGTGTATACGGCCCTCGGCCGGGCTTGTGCAACCGAATGAAGGTGACTGCGTGTCTGGGTTGGTCCAAGTGTGTCGCGTGCCTAAGCCTCAGGCACCTCGATGTGTTGGAAAACCAGTGGGTGCACGGGGCATATCCCTCCCTCTCCTACCCCGGTTGGGAGTGAGAGCGGACAGAGGGAAGGGTTGGGGAATTATTCCTTTTCTCCCACCCAGCACCCCCTCCTCACACACCCTGTCACTTGGGGTCTATTTGTTACCTTCGAAAATGTTCAGTTCTTCAGTCCGAGGTTGGGCGGGAGTGTGGAGAAGAGAAACAGGTGAGCTCTCAGAATTCGCAGCACTCTTCACCTCCTCCTTCCCACGGTACCCTTAGTGCCCTCTACACCCGCAAGCCAACCTTCGACCTCCCCTGCCCGCCTCACCTGGCCTAGTCTCCGCTGGGACCGCCGCCCGCGCCTCCTCGCGCGCCCCCAGCTCCTCCCGGCCCCCCGGGGCCCGGGCCCTTCCGGCCGCGCTCTCCGCTCTTTATCTTCTTCCTCGCCATGTGGCCCCGGAAACTCGCCTGGATTTTGGCAGCGGCCGCGTTGGCACCGGGATCGTCCAGCGGGATGTCTAGAATGTCGTCGTCTGGCTTGGAGCAGGCGCTCTCCTGCGGATGGGACGGGACCGGACGAGGGAATCTTGTGGGGTGACTGGGCGGAGACCCCCCCCACCCTGCCCCGGAGGAGGGTTGGAGTAGACTAGAATCCTACGGGATTGAGAGAGGGCAAGAATAGTGGGCGGTCCAGAGAGAAATCGAAGTGGGGTGTGTGTGTGTGTGTGTGTGTGTGTGTGTGTGTGTGTCTGTCTGTCTGTCGTGTACCCAACTCAGCAAAGAGACATGCACAGTGGTATGCAAGAAAGTCATAGTTCGGTTACCAGTAGCCATTGCCAGCAGTCGAGTTAGGGGAACTGCAGAGTTGAGTGGAGAGTGGGTTAGGAGGAGCAAGAAAATCAGCAGTAGGCACTCTTGGATGTGACCACCATCCCCCTGCTTTCAGAGGGTGCCTCCAGCTCAGAAGGGCCCTTTTCTCTTGCTGGATTCTCCCCAGAGAGAATGCAGACCACTCAACAGGACAGTCTCCTTGATTAGAACTGCTTTAGAGCTCATAGCTGGAACTAAGGAGAGGATGGGACCATTGCTCAGTGAGTCAGCCGTCCCCTGCTCAGGACTAGAAGCCTAGAGACAATTTCCCCATGACTCTCCATTTTCCAGTGTTTCAGGCTGGACTCAAACACAGAAGAGAGGGAAGAAACAACAGAGAAAAGGGATCACTTCCGAAAAAGACAAGGAAAAGATTAGCAGGAACAAGAATCCCTTTCATGGTTTGTTCATAGGAAGACAGGAACTAGGACAATAACTACTATTTAAGCACTTTCCATGTTCTAGGTGAAACACCATGTTTTACAAGTATTATTTTATGTAGTCCTCAACAATAAAGCTATGATGTACCTTTTTATTATTACCCGAGTTTACCCAGATGAAACCAATGATTGGAATGTTTAAAAACCTTCCTGGGTCATACAGTTAGTTTTCAATAGATCAAAGATTCAAACCTTTGCATATCATAGTCCAGCATATATTTTTAATCTGATTCAATAGGATAAGCAGATGCAGCCCAGAAAGTGAGTCAGGTTCTACCAATTTGCTATAACTGTGTGGTCTTGGGCCAGTTATCTAATCTTTTCCTAACATAGCTCCTTCATCTGAAAAATCAGTATAAAGACTTGGTTGTGGGGAAGAATGAACAGCATGGTATGCATAAAGTTTCTGGCATAATCTAGTTGATCAATAAACAGTAGTTATATTACGATCCAAATAATAATAAATTGATACAAAACAATTCTGTATACCAAAAGCAAGTCATATAATAACAATTTTACACAGCTCAACCTAATAATACAGTCATGTACCACATAATGACATTTTGCTCATGGAAGGACCACATCTGATGGTGGTCCCTTAAAGTTTTATGGGACTTGGCATAAATATTGACTTGTCATAGCTTAGGTTTTAAGTACACTTTGATGTTTGCACAACTATAAAATTGCTCAAGGACACATTTGTTGGAACATATCTCCGTCATTTAAAGGAATGCGTGACTGAAATCAGACCTATCTCTATATCCCAAAGTAGGTTTCTTTTTCTTTTCTTTTTTAAATTTTTTTTTTTTTGCAGTGGTGGGGATGGAACCCAGGTCTTGACATGCTACCACTGAGCTATATCCCCAGCCCTTGTTTTTTGAGACAGGGTCTTGCTATATAGCCCAAGCTGGCCTGGACTCTGTTCTATAGCCAGGCTAGTTCAAATGCATGATCCTCCTGCTTCTGCCTCCTGAGTTCTGGGATTACAGGTATATGCCTCCACATCTGGCCCAAAAGTAGGGTTCTCTGATAGCCTGCCCAAGCTGAGAGTAGAAAGGATTAGGGAATTGATGCTATTGATTTCAGAGGCCAAGCTCTGGGATAGCGAGGGATTCAGCCTCTGAGCTCCTTTGTGGACTCAGGGTAGATTGGGCTGGGGATGGTTACTATAAAGTCAGAAGGGCACTTCTCTTTTGATCTGACTCTCTGGCTTCTAGTAATTTGCTTTCATTTCTTTCCTGATGACATCCACTGCTTTGATTGTCTTTTTCTTCTCAGCCATGAGATCACCAAGGTCTCACAAAGTAACTTAATTCATATTCAGTTCACTCCTGCCCCCTCCTGGTCCTTAGCTATCCAGCTATTAACGAAGTTTCAGTGATCACTATCCCTGCCAGGGGAGGGAGCCCAGCTTTAAGTTATGGATGTCCAAGCCCAGGATTACAAATGGCTCCTGCTCAGCATGGCTTCCCCATGCTCTTTTCATTTCCAGTCTTCCAGTTCTTCAATTTGTGGTCAAGATGCCCACAATAGATTTAAACAGTAAGAGTTACTAAGAGGCTGGCATGGTGTAGAAGGAAGGACCTATAACACTTTTTTGGGGGGAGGGAGATTGAAATTTGAACTCAGGGCTCATGCTGGCAAAGTAGGCACTCTACGGCTTGAACCACATCTCCAGTCCATTTTGCTCTGGTTATTTTGGAGATGAAATCTCACGAACAATCTTCCCAGACTGGCTTTGAACCATGATGCTCCGGATCTCATCCTCCCAAGTAGTTAGAATTATAGGTGTGAGCCACCTGCATCCAGCCTAAAACACTCTTTTTTGTCTTTCCCAAAGTCTAGAGCTTTCTCTGACATCTTATTCTTCACATAAAATCTGAAACAACTCCTTCGGGTTCTCTGTCAGAGCTCAAGCCTTTCTTGGAATATTCTCAGGGAATAGTGAGGTCTCCAAAGAGGGCAACAACCATAAAAAAAAAAAATCACAATCTACCTCTCCTCTTCAGCCTTGGCAGCTGTGGAGGCTCAGGGAGGTCAAGTGGAGGAAAGGGTATCTTTCCCCAACCTACTGTCACCACCCACCCTAGCTGGAACCAGAATGGAAACCTGGAACAACAGGCAAAGCCACCCCCGAGATGACATGTGGCTCCTCCCCAGAATCAGCTCCTTCTGCCTCCAGCTGAATCCTCAGGACAGATCTGCTTATTGGCCTGTCCACAGGTGGAACTAAGGGAGAGTTAAAGGAATCCAGAAGGGCTCATTGCTCAGGGCACCTGGGCTAGTGCCTTTCAAAACCAAGACTGATTGTGTGTGTGTGTGTCAGAGAGAGAGAGAGAGAGAGAGAGAGAGAGAGAGAGCCTGGGCTCTGGGGATCTCTGAGAGGAGAGAAGGGCAGCACTGGTCAGCAAAGCAGGAGCCGTGGCCTTTAGACCCAACTGGTCACATTGCTTTGCCTCTGAGCTAGAACTTGGCTTAGATGAATAAAGTCTGCTTCAGCTCCCAAATCGTAATAGCTTTAAGAATTATCCCTTGTTGGGGATTGGACTATGAGCACATGATAAACGCGAGAGCACACAAGGGAGGGGTGAGGATAGGTAAGACACCTAAAAAACTAGCTAGCATTTGTTGCCCTTAATGCAGAGAAACTAAAGCAGATACCTTAAAAGCAACTGAGGCCAATAGGAAAAGGGGAACACGTACTAGAGAAAAGGTTAGATCAAAAAGAATTAACCTAGAAGGTAACACCCATGCACAGGAAATCAATGTGAGTCAATGCCCTGTATAGCTATCCTTATCTCAACCAGCAAAACCCCTTGTTCCTTCCTATTAATGCTTATACTGTCTCTACAACAAAATTAGAGATAAGGGGAAAATAGTTTCTGCTGGGTATTGAGGGGGGGGAGCGGGAGGGGGTGGAGTGGGTGGTAAGGGAGGGGGTGGGGGCAGGGGGGAGAAATGAACCAAGCCTTGTATGCACATATGAATAATAAAAGAAAAAAAAAAAAAGAATTATCCCTTGTTATGTGCCAGACCCTGTGCTAAGCAATTTGCAAATTTCATCTTGTTTAATCTGCATCTTAAAAGTCAAGAATCAACCTCAGAGATGTTTTGTAACTCCCTCAAGTTGCACAACTGACAAATAGTGAAGTGATCTGATTGGTTAGCCTGTGCCTCAGGGCAGGCAATTACTTCTATGACTTCTATGCAGTCATCTGGACCAAGTCAACTAGACTAAGCAAAAGAAAGGAGTAGGATACAAAAATGTTTCTTTGCCTTTTCATATTAAATGAATGCAGGAAAGTCACATATATATGTAAATATACATATATATGGTTATGTAAATAAGCAACTGTAATATTTGAATCAATAGTTAAAAAAATTCTCCTAAAAAAATTCCCAGATGTTTTATTTGCTTCTAAGTCTCCTTACTATGGAGAAAGAAAGGAATAGGCAGGACTAGATTCTTCTCAAACACTGAGGTGATCATGGAGGAGAGTCCCAGAATGAAAGATGAAGAGGCACACTGTTCTCTCCACATGTCCCAGCTCCTTCCCCAGAGCTGAGCCTGGCCCAACACAGAATGAGGCAGGAAGATTGTCTGGTTCTAACTCTGCCCTTCCCCAACCCTCTATACCATTTCTTTCCTTCTGGCCCTTGCACAGTCTGAGAATGGTGCTTTCCTTTGCCCAGCCCTTTGGCCCTTAAGACTTAGGATAAGAAAAAGGAAGGCTCTTGTGTCAGGGTGTTTAAGGGGGAGGTGCCCCAGGGCCCTGGCCACCAGGATAATTGTGCATATCCCTCCTCTGTACTTTTGGGTAGGTAGCCTCACCTTTTGGAGCAGATAGTGATTTCAATCATGTCTACCAATTCTTCGACTGTTATCCATCAGCACCTGTCATCTGTCATCTATCGATCTATGTATGTATGTATCTATCTATCTATTCTGCCTACCTACCTATCTACCCTGCCCCATGGCTTTCTGGGTAATCACAAGCACTAACCAGTGCAGACCATGGCCCATGGCATATACTACCTCATTACTCTTGCAGACGCTAGAGGAGATAGATGAGTTATTTTCCTTCCCTGCCTTGGATTCTTTGCTCACTCACATCTTTCCACTGAGTATGTCTTCCGCTTCCCCTTCGCCACAATTCTTACTTCTTCATCTTATTCCTTCCTGCTCAGCATCCTCCCTCATTCACATCTCAGAATCTGTCATCTATTTATTTTCTTTATCTTATAAAACACTGCTGGAGATGAAGGGCTCTTCCTCAGTGGAGCCCAGAACCTGCCATATTTCCTTTCACAAACAAAAACTGATTCCTGGGCTTGGCGTGTAGCTCAGAAGCAGAGCGTATACTTAGCGAGAGTGGAGCCCTGGGTTCAATTCCCCAGCACCAAAAATAAATAAGTAAATAAACAGCTTCCTAGAGAACAAGTATTCTCCATCCAGTGGGACAGTATGTGACTGGCACGTTTCTTTTTTTATAGTCTCTGTAGTCTTTATGTTTGCTAGTATGAACATATTATTTCTATATGATGAAAAACAACATATTTAGAAGAGAGGTTAAAGTTCAGGTATTTGAATCAAACAGGGCTCTGCTGGAACCCTGCCTCCACACTTTGGAGAACTGCCTCCTTGGGAAAAATCATTGAATGTCAGTTTGTACATCTGTGAAATAATACCTACCTCACAGAGTTGTTATGATGATTAAATAGAAAGTGGTAGGTTCACAGCCAACATTTGCAAATTGGCAGCTATTACTGATACTCACAGGAGTTAAGTCACAACAACCATGACTTGCACCTAAGTTCTCTCTGCCTCTTGGTATCCAGACATCAGGAAGTCTGGGCTAGCCTTTCCTTTCAAACCTTGTTTTTCTTTTTTCTTTTGTAACAACATAGGGCGCAAGGTGGCACCAGTTAAGTTAGTGACCTCTTGTTCTTTAGCTGAGTCAACTGAATGACAGAGTCCAAGCACTTTGCAGTAGTCTTTCTCCATATTTAGGGGCTAAAAATAAATATTACATTACATCGCTGTTCTCTTCTAGTGAGCCAGGAGCCAGGATCTATGCCAGGCGCTTTCGTACCGACTCACCTTAACAGCGATCTACTTTGGCTTTAGGTACTTGCACCATTCAGGTTTCCGTGTGGGCGCTGATAAACTGCAGACACTTCCTTCTCTCGCCAGCAGGGCTCTCTCCCGGTCACTTCACCCAGCCCCCTCCAGAGCGAGAAGGCGTTGAGGGCCGGGCCAACTCCTCCCCAGAACCACACTGACTAGGCTCTTTGCTGCCCATCACCACTAAGACCAATATGAATCGATCATCCCTGCCTGAGCTGTGCAGGAGCTTCGGGGATCACCAGAGGGTAGTGAAGATCAGCCTGTCCGCCCACCGACGGCGGCGGCAGTGCAAAAGGAAATGGTGTGGGAGCCAAAAATCTTCCACCTCACTAAGGGAAAGTGCCTCCTTCCGTCTAGCCTGCAGCTTCTCGGCAGCAAAGCCTTGTCCAACTAACTCCCAGCCCAACCTAGACTGCCTTGCGGATAGGCGTTCAGACGCCCCCGCGAGTTTGGGGAGCATTTTCCCTAGGGCTTTCAAGACAGGGGGGCGCCTTCCACTACCTGTCACCCACGTTTCAGCAGCTCTCCCTTACTGCTCTTAGGTCTTCCGCACCCACTTCCACCCCTCACTCACCCTTAGAGGTTCTCGGGCGCCCTTTGCAGGGTGCCCACCCCCAGGCCCTCTCTTCCTTGGGATGCTGGGGTTCAAACCCCAGGTCTTGCGCATCCTAGGCAAGCGCTCTACCACTGAACTCCATCCCCCTACTTCTGGCTTTTTGAGACAGGGTCTTGCTTTGTAGTCCAGACTGGTCTTGAACTCGCGATTCTCCTGCCTCAGCTTCCCGAGTGCTGGGATTTCAGATATGCACTACCATGCCCGGCTAAAGTATCTTGATCTTTTTTTTTTTTCTCTCTCTCAAGGTGTTGGGGATGGACCCCAGGGCCTCATGCTCCCTATAAAGAGCGCTCTACCAGTAAGCTATACCCCCAGCATCCCCGCCCCCAGGCCTTCTAACTTACGGTGCAGCAATCCATGCTGTTGTTGAGGGTTCTTGGCTGGGGTGGAGCCTGGCACAGGGCGGGGGTGAGTCTGTGCGATTCTGGGTGGCAGCTCTGGGGCGATCCGGCTCCGGCCAACCCGTTTAGAACCAGCGCAGAACCAGACACTCTTCTCTCGGGTCCTGTCTCCCGCGCTCGGCTCAGCTTGCGAATGTAACCTGAGCCCTGCGGTCGAGAAGCCAATCAGAAGACGCCTTGGGCCGGGTGGGCGGGGAGAGCTAGAGGGAAGGCCACGCCCCCTCTTCGCTCCCTCCGCCTTGCTCCCCCTCCTGCCCCAGCCCTCCGCCTACACACTTCCATCCATTCCTCCTACTCACCCCATCCTCTCAAATTCAATCCCCTTGCTTGCTAAGCAGCAGACTGCCAGGCAGATTTATGCCAGAGTAGGCATAAGGAGGCCCCCAACACCCGGGGCTCAACCACACTCACATCTGGGCACAGCATGCCTTCCCACCTTTCCCACAGAAAGCCAAGCACCAACACCCACCTCCCCACACTTCCACAACCTCTCTAGAGTCGCAAATATGGCTCCCTCTGACTTCCCTCCCCCTCAGTCCGCAAAGAAAATCTTCCCAAGAACGTGCGGCAGAGAAGTCCCCCATCGGTCCAGTTACCGAATGGAGAAAGCTGTTGGTATACAACCTGGTGATGGGCGCATACTGATACAAAAGCTCACAAGCCCCACACGTCCATAGAGATAATTCCCGGGGTTACGCGTGCCTTTCTTCCAACATACAGAGACTGCAGACACAGTCTGCAAAACAACTACACAGACCTTGTATGCACACCCTATGCAGATGCAGGTAAATGCAGATAGTTTGTGTTTTGGGAGCTGGCGTGTGTGTGTGTGTGTGTGTGTGTGTGTGTGCGCGCGCGCACACAATCACCCTACTCACGATGTCTGCATTACATGTCATTAGCTATATCTATCTAACCATTCATCATCTGTTTATCTATCTACTTATCTATGTATCTGCCCTGCACCAAATAAAATCATCTATACACGACACTTGTATGTATTTATATTTGAATACAGACTTGGAAGAAACACCCTTCCCCCTTCCCACTCCTTATACCAGACTCCCTAACCTTTTGATCCCCTATCTGAAGATAAGAATTAGCTCTTTGGAAGGAAAAAACCCCCAAAACAACAACAAACCCAATTCTAAACCCAAGTAGTGTAGGGAATTATTAATAATCAGGCCTTTGGGTCCATTGTGGGGAAGGATGTGGGTGGGCTTCGGGAGAGGCTGGGAAAGGGAGATACAGAAAGAGCATCTGGGAGGGTCAACTTGCCACTTTTGTGGTCACTGACCTCCCCTAGATTGTGAGGGTAGCAGAGCTGGCAGTGTGCCATGTTAGTGGCAGGTGAATCATCTCTGAGAAAACTATAAAAGTCCTTCTCAGCTAAGGTCCCAGAGGAGGGACAGCTGTTGTCCAGAGCAGAGGAAGGGACTGTGGCTCTGAGTGGAACAAAGGCCCCCAAAACAGCCCTGCAGTGGACCCACAGTCACTGGCCAGTCTTAGCATGGCTGTTACATGCTTCCTTTCCATTGAGTGTTTGGGCCACAGGCTTTCCTCACCAAAGGGAAAATGAGTGGGAGGGAAATGCCAGGGTCTACTCAGGATGGGGACAGGGTTAGCCAGCTTGGGGTCCCAAGCTGAGCTGGAGGCTGGCTGGGTTCCAGAGCTTGGGGTGTAAGGGTGTCTCTCCCATCATGTTTGGGACCCACCCACCCCTGTAACTGAAAATCTGTTCCCCAATCTGTCTCTGGCACATCTTCCATCCCCCACCTCCACCAAATAGCAAGATGTCCTGGGAACTAAGGCCTTTGCCTGGATCATGGACACATCTGGAGCCTTAGGTTGAGCCAATTTCCCTTGGGCTTTAACTCCAGAATCCATAAGAAAGAGGGAAGAAGGAAATCGAGGGACAAAGAGGATTCAGGCCTGGACTTTGCTCTTTTCCCTTCCCAAATTAGAGCTGAGGAATTCGGGATTTGGTGAGTTTGCAGTAAAGTCTCCCAAGTTGCTAGGCAACATCCCTCTGCAGGCTGTGCTGCCTCTGGGCCCTTCTTCCTGCTGGTCAGAGCTGAAAGGGGGGAGTGGTGGTACTTTACCACACCCTCCCTATACCCCCACACAGGCAGCACTGCCTTTCCCTCTTCTGAAAGACACCTTTGTGTGAGGTGAGGGTGTCTATGAACACTGGTGGACCCATGGGAGAACAAATACAGCAATTGTCAGTTCAGTCTGCAAAACAACCATTTACAACAGCCCACTTGAAGCACCCACGCAGAACTGGCCACAGTGCTTGCCCTGGGGGATGAGCAGGTTCTGAGGTGAGGAAACGACAGAGAAGAAGGCAAAGACCGGAATACAACAAACTCAAATACGCAGAGGTAAATGACGCATATGCATAGACACACATACAAAGGTGCATACTCAATCACTGCCCATACAGCCGCAGAGACACGCTCTGAGAAGACTGTTACACAGTGATGACTCCTCATGTTGGCTCCTCTTACTGCCTGAGAGCCAGAGCATACACTAAACCTGTTAAGAGATCACTCTTTTGGACTAGGTGGTTGGACTTTGTCAGCAAATTGAGCTGGTGGGATTCTGAGCCTGTGACTTATATAGATGAGCTAGGAAAAAGGTCCAGTACAGTATGATATCCCCAAGTCTGGCTCTGCAGGGCTCTGGTCTTTGACATATTGATGCCAGGTAATGCTACCCATGGTATCCTGCCAGCCTTAGCCAGCAGGTCAACTTTAGTTCCCTTTTAACCAGCTGAGTTTGGGCCCTATAGTCTTCCTTGACTCTTCCAATTTCAAAAACTCTCCTGCACATTTGCTAATCCCCTCAGCTACTGAAGGCTACAGGGCTGGAAAGGAAAAGAGCTCCGAAAGGAATGGGTTAGGAAGGGAGCTGGGGCATGTCAGGACGTGGGCTGGAGCCAGCAGAGAGGGCGGAGGTAAAGACTAGAAGCCAAGGCAGGCAGAAGAGGCAGAAGGTTAGACAAATGAGAGGATAAAAGATGGATTAGTGGTCCAATACAGATCTGTCTTGGGACAGATGGAAGGGGATTTGGAAAGGGTTGGTCCTAGTACATAGAAAGAAAAGCCATGGCATGTGACAGTGTATTTGCCAATACTTGTGGCTTCCCCTCCGAGGAGTGGGCACTCTCTGAACATAACATCCCAGCTCAAGCCCACAGAGGACTCCATTATGAGAAAGGGTGGTAAAGTGGGAGGCTTGTGCTTTTGGCGGAGCTGATCTGGGGGCTTCTTAGGTCAGGCTTTTACCCATTTGAGTGGAGGGAGTGGGGGTAGCAGGAAATTCAGTTTTCTCTGCAAATATTTCAGCTTTTCTGTAGTAGTATTTTTAGCAACCTGGTTGGCAGAGGAGGAGCCTGGGTACATTTTTAAAGGGGCCTGTGCCAGACTGGAGGGCTCTTTCCATCCTCACCCTACATGTCAGAAAGGAGAAGGGGAGAAAGCACATAGCTTAAAGAGTGCATTCAAACTTAAAAATCAAGTCTACTGGGCAGTAGGTGACCAATAAGTAATCTTTATCGATGGTGATTATCAGTCATTATGAGCATCATTACTGTTGGCAGATTATCAAGAATAAATATTTCTTGGACTTCTGCTGTGTGCTGAGTGCTATAGGGACACAATATAAAAGGATTGATATACTATGCAGTTGACTCTGCATATCCACAAGTCTGCATCTGTAGATTCAGTCAACTGTAAATTGAAAATATTCAGAGAAAAATGACACCTGGATTGAACATGTGTAGACTTTCTTTCTTGCAATTATTCCATAACACAGTATAACATCTATTTACATAGCATTTACATTGAATTAAGTATCATAAATAAGCTAGAGAAGATGTAAAGTATACAGGAGGATGTACGTAGGTTATATGCAAATATTATGCCATTTTATATAAGTGACTTGATCATCTGCAGATTTTGGTAACAGCTCAGGGTCCTGGAACCAGTCCCTCATGGACTGGTTCTTCAGTCTGTACTTGGCAAGACAGACTGAAGAACCAACAAAACTGAGTGAATACTAAGCTAAATTAGGGATGAAAGGGATTTATTTAATCCATTATTTAATATGATGCTTTAAAGGTCTGTGTGAGGACATATTAGTATTTGAATCCCCTTTTTTTTCTAAGGAGGAAACTGAGGTCTATACAGCTTTAAGTGACCTGTTATCTGTATGTTATTTGTCCTCAGTGAAATTTAGAAGCAGGATTCTGACTTTGAATTGTTACCTCTCTAAAATATCCCTAGCATTTGTCCTGGGCTTGATGTGATGGGCCACTTGGTAACAAATTAGTCATGGTCTCTTTTCTCTTTTTTTTTATAGTCTGATGAAAAAGGTACATATGTATATGTGTGTAGAAAATAAAAGTAATGAATGATAGGTGCCAGATAAATGATGCAGACAGTCGGGCACTGCTGGTCATGCCTGTAATCCTAGCTACTGAAGAGGCAGAGATCAGGAGAATCATGGTTCGAAGCCAGCCTGGGCAAATAGTTTGTGAGACCCTATCTAGAAAAAAACCCTTTACAAGACAAAGACTGACATAGTAGCTCAAGGTGTAGGCCCTGAGTTCAAGCTCCAGTATCACACACACACACACACACACACACACACACACACACACACACAAATGCAGACAGTAAATGTCATAGGAGGGGAGGTGTGGGAAAAATGACTAGATGATCACAAAGGTTTTCTAGAGAAGAATGGCTTAAAGCATGACAGGATTCAGATAAGTGTAAGGGGCCAAGAATGGACAGAAGGACATTGGAGGCAGGGGCCATGCAGTACATTTGGTATCACTATGAGCTCATGCCACTCCAATCCAGAGGAGCCCTGAAGACGGCAATCCTGATCTCCTTCTTGCACACAAGATTCTGTGTTTAAAGCTGGGTACCCTGACTCCATCTATGCTGACATATTGGAACACATTAGGACCATGAGGTATACACCGAATGGTGCTCATGGCCATGGTGCTCAGCCCTTCTGTTCCTAAGAGCTCTGAAATGTACTGCTCTTTGGTCCTGTATGTGTGCCAGGTGTCTGCTTTCTTTCCCTCCACTCCCA